TTCCGCCAGGGACTCTCAACAGAGGATGCGTTCTGATTATTAACTGATAACCTGCTTCATGCCAAAGACCGCCACCTACAGTCTGCTTCATGCAGGCTTTCTCGATATGTCGAAAGGATTCGATAAAGTGCAGCATGCAACGCTGCCTCCTTGTAGTGGGTGTGACTGGACAGACCCTGGCATGGTTCTGCAGCAGGGAGTCGTAAATACCTATTTTACGACTCCCTGCTCTGCAGCTATATTATGCACTTGAGTGGCCGCACACAGCAGGTTGAGATTGGAGCCTAGGCCTTGACGGATTATGCTAATATTTTCGTGAAATTATGCTTTTCGCATTGCTGAAAAAATTGCAGAATTATGCTATTTTTATGCTAAAAGTTATTATATTATGCCGCATTATGCTCACATATGCTGCTGATGTATATGATGGTTCTGTGCAAAATACCAGGGGAATTGTTTTGTAGAGGGCGTTGTACTGTAGTAGCAAAAGTTCAACGGGGTCACCGCACCGTGCGACCTAGCTACGACCGTTACTGATTGTAGTGGACTGGACATGTTCTCAAGGGAGTCGTAAACCTACGACTTCCTGGTGCATCTACTTGTACTTGTAGAACTTGTAGAACTTGTAGAACTGTATGGAATTTGATGCGAACAGGCGGATTATTCCAATTTATGCGATTCATATGCAATTTGCCTCGAATTATGCGATTATTCGATTTTGGTAGAAATTATTCGAAAAATTATGCTAGCATAATCCGTCAAGGCCTATTGGAGCCAGTCTTAGTAGAATAGTGAAATGCACATGTGGTGTCCCCCAGGGCTCCGTGTTAGGGTCATTACTGTCCAGTCTAAACACGGTAACACCAGAGAAGCTTCGCCTGTAGCCAACCATGGCAAACGATCCAGTTTGCCGATGATAATTATTGGAGTGTATTACAGCTCCACTGTCTCGGCAGTCATCTCGGATACACTCTCCTCTTCTGTCTCTGCACTGGCAGACTGGTTTTGAGGGAAAGAGACAAACGGGAAAAGTCTGAAGAAAAAATTGATTGTCATCACCAGGACTCGAACCAGGGACCCTCGCTTGTAGCCAGCGATGCTCTAACCGCTGAGCTATGGTGTAGTCGTCATCCAAGCAGAGACCGTTCAACGGTTTCTTCAGACTTCGTAACTCACACTTCCTGTGAATCCACACAGGCGGGTGGGACGCAGCCCTCACTGTAACCCACACACTTCACGTACAAACTAGCACGCGGGGAGCCCCAAGTCATAAAAATTAATATTGACTGGTTTTGAGGGAAAGAGACAAACGGGAAACGTCTGAAGAAAAAATTGACTGTCACCACCAGGACTCGAACCAGGGACCCTCGCTTGTAGCCAGCGATGCTCTAACCGCTGAGCTATGGTGTAGTCAATAATAATAATAATAATAATAATTTGAAACTCGGATGTTGATCCATAAATAGATGTAGAAAGGAAAAAGACATTATGGATACGAGGGGGCACATCACCCAAATGGGCCAAAATCACAAGTCCGTGGACATTTCTGGGTGTAACTCAGCACTAGAACATTGGATTCAGTTCAAATTTTCAGGGTGGCTCCCATGTGCATCAGGGAGGAGATTGACAGCATTAGTAGGCACATACGCGAATACGTTCCAATCTTTCACGCAAATTCAAAAATGGAAATTTGCGATTTTGCGATGTTTGATAAATTTTCAGCAGAAAGTTCTGAAAACAGTTGTGAATAATGATATTTTTCAATTTACAGACTCTATGCAGTTAGCGCTACGGAGATGTGTTGAAGCTAGGTGTCCGGACGTCAAATGTCTCAGTACTCTGTCAGTTTTGTGCCTAGTTATTGCACTTTCTGACTGTATAATGTTACAGTGATGGAGAGTTACTCTTAACTCGTATCCATAATGTCTTTTCCTTTCTACAATAATAATAATAATAATAATAAAGTAAAAAAAAAGGAACATTGAAAACATGAGATGATTGGTGAGGTGACTGCAGCCTCAGTTATTTGGCCAGCAAAAGTCATAATTGTTACAGTAGGCCAGCTATTATATGAACAAGGGAGCTACTGTGCCGCAACATAGAGCGAGGGAAAGTATATCAGCTAACGAAAAAAGACATGGTCTCAGACGTGGTGTGTGCACTACGGCTGAGGTGGGTGTGAGAGGTCTGCTAGAGGCTCTCAGTTGCCCAGCTCCAGTGGTGCAGCTGGAGGTGACGGTGGACACGGCATGCTTTGGGGCAGAGCATTCCATGTCTGCACAGCGCTGGCAGGAAATGCGCGAAGACAGCTGTTTCGCGTGCGTGCTGGGAGGTTAATTGATAGCTGGTGTGGGTGAGTAGGCTGAGCAGACACGCGGGTGGGCTGTACGTGCTGAGGTCGACGTTGGGCACCAAGGGGGAGGCTCTTCTTTAGCGGGCTGTCCGCATCCCGGCAGAATAGCTTGTACACTGAGTATGCAAGCCTCATGTAGACTATATTTGCAAGAAAACTAGTAGTGTTTTCGGCATACTATATCCTCATCGTTCTCATTTGCCAAATACATGCCGTTCTATGTTTTATCGCTCGTATCTATTACCTATTTTCCAGTATGCATGTCAGTCTTGGTGTAGTCTAAGTCAACATCTTGTGAACAAACTTGAAATCCAACATAAATCTCTTCTTGAAATATTGTTTAACCCTTTGGAGTCCGTAACTTGTTTGCTTCTGCAAAATTTGTGGCAGTCACGAAAATGCGCACTCCATTTCAAACATAACTTTGGTTCTACTTCACCGATTTTGAAGATCTTGGGCTCGTTGGAAAGCTCTTGATGAGAGAAACACAATGAGCCCAAACTTGCCAAGAGCACTATTCATTGTCCGCCACAACGCGCCCCAAACGCGAGTCCAGCTCCAGATCTGAGACGAAATCGGTCTCCTGTAGCCATTTCACTGAATCTAGCTCGGAACTGTTCAATTTGTTTTCGAGTAGAAGCTTACCTGGGTTGCTGGCTCATTGCTTCAGTACTTACTACTTTGGATGGTATGAATCGTTTCATTGCCTCTGTGGCTTTCCTGGTGAGTTTGTCACATGAGGTGTCAACGTCATCGGAAGGAAGGACCAGTCTGAGTCGCGCAGGAAGGCGCGTAGGCGGGGCCAGTCGGCTTGCTGGTACCGCCATACTGTGCGCTTGGTCGGACGATCTGGGGTTGGTGCCACATCGAAATGTGTAACTATCACTGCATGGTCGGATTTGCCAAGGGGTGGATGCAGAGGCGTGACGAATCTGCCTGGTAAATCTGACATCACGAGGTCCAAGGTGTTGCGACCACGGGTTGGCTCATGGACGAGCTGCTCAAGACCATACATATGGCACATGTCCTCTGCATATTCGCGTGCACGTGTCGTTCAACTGCTGTGGAGCCAGTCGTCTTGGTTGTGCACATTAACGTCACCAGCTAGAATCACAGGCGAAGTTTGGCACGCTGTCGACTCGAGGCCCACAGATATGGCGTCAAAAATGGTGATGTCCGTGTCTGAGCACGTGTCTCGAGTACACTCCACCAACATGACCTAGAGTGACTACAGAAGATTCAAAACCGGTGATCAGGGCTGTGTTTGGCCAAATTCCACATGCATCAGCCTACCCTCTCCTCGCTGCATCGTCCCTATATGCTGTACAGGAACTGTTCCGCCACAAGATGCTCTGCTTCGTGTTGTGTTGCGTCAATGGCAATGCATCTGGCTTGCTGCAACAATTGTTTCGGCCAGCAAGGTCGCAATTCCGGCACCAGCAGTCCATGAGACTGATCATGCCTCTCTCACGCAGCCGTACTATCTATCCATCTCTCTATCTATCTATCTATCTATCTATCTTTCTGCTTATCTGTCTGTCCGGCAACCATTTTCTCTATCTGTCTCTCTGTTTTTTGCATCACCTCACACACACACACACACACACACACACACACACACACACACACACACACACACACACACACACACACACACACACACACACACACACACACACACACACACACACACACACACACACACACACACACACACACACACACACACACACACACACACACACACACACACACACACACACACACACACACACACACACACACACACACACACACACACACACACACACACACACACACACACACACACACACACACACACACACACACACACACACACACACACACACACACACACACACACACACACACACACACACACACACACACACACACACACACACACACACACACACACACACACACACACACACACACACACACACACACACACACACACACACACACACACACACACACACACACACACACACACACACACACACACACACACACACACACACACACACACACACACACACACACACACACACACACACACACACACACACACACACACACACACACCTCAGACCTCAGACATGCCCATCGCGGGAGCGATGATAGCGAACAGCTATGTTAGACATAGCAACTTGTGCTGGGATTACACCATTCAACAGCTTGCAAGGCTGATGAATTGA